GAGCAGAGCAAGGGAAAACGACAGTGGCCTTCCAACATCTGGCTTAACAATCGTCGGCAGCTCCTCACTGAGTCCAGGCCCTGTCAGAAGTTTCTGAGTTGCCTGACGACGTTTCCATTGGAGGCGCGGATACTGGTGGCAGTGGTCTGGGGTGGGTGGCAGGAAGGCGCCAGGCTGGTAGCGCCGCATCACCACCTGCTTGCAGTTGGGCGCTCAGTGTGTGTGGTCACTCGGGAGGGCGGCGATAGGGCAGCACCTTTTTCAGGTCATGGAGAAAGTAGAGACATGTTGCAGATTCATTCTGATGTGAGAATTTCAAAACTTCTTTGGGCAAGAAACTTATTTTGAAATTGATTCTGCTTAGCTTGAGAGAGAAGGAAAATTGTTGTACATCAGCATCTGTAAGTTTTGTAAAGTTTCTTAAATAAGCATTTTAAGTCAAGCATGATGACTCACACCTATAATCCCAGTCACTCAGGAGGCTGAGGTGGGAGGATCGTTTGATACTAGTCTGGGAAACGTAGTGAGACCCTGTCTCAAGGAGGAAAAAAGTGGTAGAACAAGCATATTTTAAGTGGAAATGACTTTTTAATATTAGTGTTTCCCTCAGATTTTCATTCAGAACTCCTTCATCAGACGACTTGATTAATCAGAGACAATAATGGTTTGGAGGAGATCTTTTAAAAGGATAAATATACAGTGTGGGCTTTTTGGTTTGTTTTCTAGTGATACATACCCAAAATAACAAAGCTCTCTGTAAAAAAAGTTTCAACATTAAGAAGAGGAATTTTGGGGGCTGGGGAAATTAAATAAAAATAAATAAATAAATAAATAAAAAAGAAGAGGAATTTTACTAAGTAATCTTACTAAGCTGACAGTTATCCATGTTGTGTCTCCCGTTTCCTCAAGGTGTAGAGGAGCCAGAGTGAGGCTCACGTTGGTTCACGTGTCAGTGCCAGGCTGCAACAACGCCCCACCTTCCTATTCCTTTTCTTCAGTTCCCCTGCCCAACGTCCAAGCCCTAAGAATAGCTAATGCATGGATCAGGCTTTTCATAGGTGTTTAAATCATGTGGTCTTACATTTTATGGCATTTCTTAGAGTACTTAATTTCTTAAAAGCACTGCTACTTGTATGTTACTGCAGTGATGTGGTTGTTTGTACCCTGATATGCACATAAACTTGATAACATTGTGAACTTAAAAAATCTTCTTAACAGATTTTACTGTTTACCACCTTCTACTATTAAGGTATGGCAGCTAAGAAAAAGCATTAAAAAGAAGCATACATATAATTCAGTGTTTCATTTGTTTATTTTGGTTCTATAATATGTATGTCTTAAATAGAGCCTTCCCTAAGAGGAATTTTAAATACCAAGGCATAGGGTGTGTGAGTGTGTATCTTTCTCTCTTTCTCTCTCCCATTCTCTCTCTTTCCCTCTCTCTCTCTCTCTTTCTTTCTTTTCTCCCTTCCTCCCCCCTTCCCTTCCCTTTTTTAGACAGGGTCTCACTCTGTCATCCTGGGTAAAGTGCAGTGGCGTCATCATAGCTCACTGCAACCTCAGACTCCTGGGCTTGAGCAATCCTCCCACTTCAGCCTCCCAAGTAGCTGGGACTACAGGTGCACGCCACCACACCTGACTTGGGTGTGTATGTCTGCTGCCCTCTCTCTAATGGGGTTGAGTTTCCTTTGGAAAAATTATCAGAAATCTCTAGACTCACTGGAACTTACGCTTCAACTCTCTGACCCTGTGTAAGTTCAGGCCTTGTTGGGGATGGCCAGCCAGTGGCCCTGGCGCCCCTTGAATTGGTAACTAAAGTAGTTGCTGATGATTTTTTTCATCTCTCTCTAGTATCCTTTTTCCTGACCATTTAGATTTCCCTCTGTTTTGTTCTGCCTTTAAAAGTTGTTTATTCTTCAGTAAATAAGTAACTGCTAAAATGATCTCGTTAGATGGAGGGAATTGGATTGCCCCATGATGTATTCCAGGAATTGTGTGTCAGGTATTTGGGAGTCTGAGGATGTGTAATTCTTTGAGTATTTTTCTAAGGTACTCGTCTGAAAATATTCGTTAGTCCTTTTCTGTTGCGGGATCCTGCAGACATAAAAGCCAGCAACCTCATACTGCACGGGGAATGCAAGATGCTCATCAGCTCTGTCTTGTGCTTGTGCTTAACCTGTTTCAGTTTAGTTAGTAATTAACATTTTTCAAATGCCAGCTCCTATGCCATGGGCTAAGGATATAGGGAGAAAAGGCAGCCCCCAGCCTCAAGGAATGGACTTGAAAATTCCTATCAGTTTGTCTCAACCCTTGGACCTCTTAGTCTTTAGTTTCCTAAAGTCTCTGCCTCAGATTTTTTTTTACATTTTTGTTGCCTATTTTAGTTGCTTTTAAAACAATTGAGCCAGCTTCTCTGCCCTGTTACCATATCTAGATCTACAACATTCTGATATGACTCAGGCTTAGAGAAGCTTCCATCACCTCCCTAGGAAGCCTCATTGCCCTTATTTCAGCATTTCATTTCTTACAACAAAGCCTTTTATATTGGTGGTGGTACATATAATTTATAGTCTACAGTCTATTGGGCAGTAGGATTGACACACTCTTCTCTTCCCTACCACTACAGAGGGGAGATCATTTAGAAGACTGAGTTCAATTTGAACCTAGAGCCCAAACTATCTGCTGCAAATCACAGATAATCTCACCTAGAAAAAGCTAGATTTCAGGGTGAAAGGTGATTGGCATACATTCAACTCATTGTATGCATGTTGGCATATGGTCAGTAGTGAAGGAAAGGTCCATAATATGGATGATTCTGTGGTGTTACCAGCACATTCTGAATTTCTGACAACTGCAAAGCAGTGAAGGGATTTGAGCTCAAATTACAAATCCTTTAAACTGCCAAATTTCCATTTTCTTTGTTCATAAGGACCAGGCACATTGATGGCAGGTCATTGTCATCTTGCTGTAAATTTAGGACACAGTGATAACCAAAATCTTGCTGAGGGAAGTCACTGGGGCCAAATGTCTTTAGCTGTCTGTTCTGTAGAGTGTAGATACGCGTGTGAGAAGTGTAGGAGTGACGGGTCCTGAACACCTTTGGCTGAGAGTGGTAGTGGGGTCATTACGTGTGTGAGAAAACCTTTGTGCTGTTCGGTTAACAAGTCTACAAAATGAGAACTGTCTTGGAAAACTGGGCTTTATTAATTCAAAGGTATGCTTTATCAAATTCTTTATTTCTCATGTTTAAGATTATTTGAACATGTGCTTAAATAAATGTTGGACATTAGACTTTGCCTGATTGTTGGTCCTTTCAGTGGGAAAGATATAAACCCTGAAAGTTTCCCTCTTGGATATAGTATAGGAGAAGATGTTGGTCCCAACAAAGTCACTTCATTCAGCCCACCAGTTGCATCTTCCCCGTCTGTGAGAAGGAATACAAAGCTGCATAGGCTCCCTTCTGAGAACAAAGTCCAGGACTAGGGAATCAAATCACCTGTTAGAATGACGGTATGACAGCATCCATCTTTGATTTCTATTTGCAGTCTTCCCACTACTTGTGTTAAGTCTTAAAAATCACAGGTAACCATTGTCCAATAGCAAGGGTGTGTATGTGTTTGGGTTCTTTGTTGCAATTAGCAGAAACCAGCTCTGGTTAACTTAAACAGAAGGGACCTTATTGGAAGGATGTTAGAATTAGAGGATTATTAGAACTGGAAGGATTATTAGAATTGATGAGGAGACCAAAGAACTAGGCTTGGCTTAGATAGCAAACAAGGCAACTCTGGAGGTCGAGGAACCACAGACTGCCTGTGGGTGTTTGGACTGATGCTGTCTGGGCAGGAACAGGGTCATGCCAGCCATTGGTGCTCACAGAGAAGTCCCAGGGAAGGACTATCTAACCGGTAGCTCAGATCATGTGACCACACCTTGTTGGAGGGAGGTGGGTCCCTGATTATAGTCCCACCAGGCCTTATCCAAGAAAGGTCATTCTTCAAAGGAAAATGAGGATGAACTTAGTGGGAGGAAGTCATGCTAAGCAGCCCAAAACAACAAATGCCCACCACGGGTTAGTGGAAGGGATCGAGAGACAGAAGAAGCCAATACTAGTTTTCCTGTGGCAGATGAGGGTTGGGAATACATGCTCATGGGCATTGGCTATGACATCTGTCTGTGTCTCTGTAACCTCTTCCCTCTCTTCTCTCGCTCCCTTAGCTTGGGGCCTGGAAGGGCAGTGCTGTTGTGACGTTGACTTGTACACTCGCAGGGTACTATGTCTGTGTTCTGGAAGGTGTTAATGCTTTGATAAGCTTTGAGAAATTAGATTTTTTAAAAGACCCTTTTCCTTGACTTCTTCAGTGTTTGCCTATTTACCCTGTGGCACAATTTACTAGCTGCTAATCTGTTCTATCCATAAATATTGTTATCGAGAATTTTACATTTTAAGTATATTAGTAGCCAAACTTTGACGTTTTGGACTCATCCGGATAAATAAATTCATCCCTTAGTCTGATTTTAGTTGGTTATTAGAGATGATTTATGTATACAGCACAGATAGTTACTAAAGAAATTTTGCTTAATGATTAAAGCTAACTTTAAGCAAATACTAAGTTACCCTACTTAACCTCGTTATTGGAGAAATGGAATCCTACACCTTATTTGTGGTTTTCCATTTTCAAAGGAGAGTACAGTCTTTCAAAAAGAAATGAATTTTAATATCCTGGAATGTTGGGAGTACAGACATCTTTTCACTTTCAATGAACATTTAATAACATTTGTAGTCTACCTCCTTGGTGTAAGAAAAAATGATGAAATCCATCTTTACCAAATTAATTTTAAATAATGATTCAGTGATACTCCTATTTGAGTCTCCAAAAAGCTCCAAATTTCTGTAGTTCCCACCATCTGCCTCTAAGCTGTCAGTCTCACTCTAAACAAGAACACTCGGGGCACTGTCTCGCGGTGTTGTGCGAAGGCGACCTTCTGTGTCTCTCTTGCAGCACCCAGTGCTTGATGAGCCGATAGCTGAAGCCGTCTGTATCATCGCAGACACGGATAAGTGGAGTGTCCAGGTGGCCACGAGTCAGAGGAAAGTGATGGACACCATGAAACTGGGCCAGGACGTCTTGGTGTCCAGTCAGGTGTCCAGTTTACTCCAGTCCATTTTACAGCTTTACAAACTTCACCTCCCTGCAGATTTTGTAAGTATTTGTTCTTCTTTCACCAGAGAAACATAGATTAAAATTACTTTTAACAACATTTTGATTATAAAATCACAAATTCAAAAGTATTGTTTCTAATATAATTGGAGGTTAGCGTAAGTAAAAATGGAACATGCAACATAAAACCAGCAAACAGGATAGATTTCAGTAACAATAGCCCTTCCATGAAATAAGAGTGGCACTGAAATTCTTTTGAACAAGCAACAAGGTATGTGGTAAAGGAAATAAGGTATGGGGGAAGGATCAAGCATAAAGGGAAATTTTAAATCCTCCTTTGGAGAACTCATTAGTTCTCCTTTCTTTAGATCAGTATTAAGCAGGAATTGTGGTTCCTTTTGTTCTATGGCTATCTTCACAAAGGTGTTGAGGATAAAATAGAATATCGTTGGTGTAAGCACTTAATTTCAAAGTGCTATACATATGTAAGATGGTATTAATTGTTGCTTGTCAAAGAGGATTTTAGAATCACTTTCATAACATCATTTTAAATACAAACAACAAATGGAGCCTGTAAACTCCTAGAAAATTAGCAGGAGCTCTTTCCTAGTCACTGGAATTAGCATACGCAGCAAATTCCTTTCAATATGTGTGTGTGTACAGAGAAATTGAGAGAAAGAGAAGATATAGGTAGAGACGTACACACAGAGAGGGAGGGAGAAATATTTCTAAAGAGGAGGAGCTGCTTTTCTGGTGACAATGACCACTAGAAAGAAAAAAAAGTGAAGCTGCAGAGTTCATGGCCAGGAAGGGCTTAGGTGAGCCGACCATGGGGGCTTCATTCGGGAATGGAAGTCTGCTTCTCTGCTGCTCCCTGCCTTCCACACAGTGCTGCCCTCCATGGTATAGCCCCAAAGCCAGAAATGATATAGACTTGCTTAACAACCAGGTAGTGAAGCTAAATGTTAATTACCCATACTAATTGCTAATGGAGTGTTCACTTTCCTTGGGTTCTTATGATCAAATCTGCACTCGCACCACATTCCTCAGAAAAAGTCATGACTTTTATGGCGTTGAGGAAGGTGCTCTGAAAGACTGGTTGTCGTCAAAGGAGTGGCAGTGTGGTATGGCAGGAAGACCACTGAACGACGTTGGGCTAAAGTCTAGGCTTTGCCATTGATTAGTTACGTGGCTGTGGACAGTCCTGAGTGTCTCTGAAGCTCAGCTTTCTCATTTGTAAAATGAAGATAGTACATATGCGACAAGTGTGCTGTGAGAATCTTCTGAAAATTAGGGATACAATACTGCTTTTTAAACTGCCAAAAGCCAGTATATGTTAGTGGCCAGAGCATGGCCTTTGGAGTCCAATAGCCTGAAGTGAAATCCAAGTTCTGCTGCTTACTTACTGTGTGACCTCTCAAAGCCTTAATTTCTTTACCTGCAAAGCAGGGGAAATAATAGAACCCATCTCATATGGTTGTGAAAATTAGAGAATTCCTGTAAAGCACTTGGAATAGTGTTAGATGGTATAAGCACTCAGTATGACAGCTACTATCAGTATGATGGTCGCTAACAATTAGTTTCATGAAACAGTGTTAATGATTGTAAAGACTAACAACACCTTTCCATTAAAATCTTTATTTGGTCTTTAAACGGAAGCATACTCTTGCAGGACGTCCATCCCAGGGGTAATACGACAAGTATTTATGTGTTATGATGACCTCATTTTTTGTTCTACATTTGTAGGCAGTTTTTCTTTCTAGAAGCAGGTTTGGTTATGCTGATTTAGAGGCTAACTTTTTCCTGTAAGGGAAGAAATATATATTAGACTTAATAATTTTTTACTGCTGTAATTATTTACCAAACTTTTATATTTCTTTCTGTAATACATAGTTCTTGTTACATTTGACATCCTAGTTATCAAAGCAACACATTACTGTAACTAATTTTTTACTTCATTTGGATGGAAGTATGTTTAACCACTTAATAGTATAAATGACATATTTAACATGACAAAACCAAGATCAAAGAAAATTTTATCTATAGTTTAAAATTCTCCTTTAATATCACTTGAATGAAACGTGATTAAATGGCTATTAGGTCCTTCAGTACCAAAGGAGAAAGCAGTTATTTAAAACTTTAGAAGTTAAAAATTGAAGAAATCCATCTTAGGAATAAAATCCCAGAAAGAGGAGGAAAAAAACCCAACACAGTTCTATTTGATAATCAAGCTTTTAAAAAATTTTCTAACTGTGTTGATTTCACATTCAGCATACATTCCATACAGACCAGAATTCTCTTTATTTCCACATTGCATCATACGGTTTTCACACAGACTGTGAAAACACTGTAAATTAACTATTTCAAAACATCCTTTGGGCCGGGAGCAGTGGCTCACGCCTGTAATCCTAGCACTCTGGGAGGCCGAGGTGGGTGGATCGTTTGAGCTCAGGAGTTCAAGACCAGCCTGAGCAAGAGTGAGACCCCGTCTCTACCAAAAAAAAAATAGAAAGAAATTGGACAGCTAAAAATATATGGAAAAAATTAGCCGGGCATGGTGGTATACGCCTGTAGTCCCAGCTACTCAGGAGGCTGAGGCAGTAGGATCACCTGAGCCCAGGAGTTTGAGGTTGCTGTGAGCTAGGCTGATGCCACGGCACTCTAGCCCGGGCAACAGAGTGAGACTCTGTCTCAAAAAAATAAAATAAAAAAAACCTATTATACCAAGGTTTGAGATGGTTTGTAGTTTTTCAAGTGTATTTGAAAGGGATGAAATTATAATGGTTTAAGAGAAAGATTCTAACTCTTAAAATACTGGCAGAGGTTTGAATTCTAGCCTTCATTGTGAATGTTATTGGCTTTGCAGTGCATCATGCATCTTGAAGATAGACTACAGGAGATGTACCTTAAAAGTAAAATGCTGTCTGAATATCTTCGGGGACACACACGAGTCCACGTGAAAGAATTAGGTGTTGTACTGGGGTGAGTTCTGTGACATGCCACCACTTCTCCCTGTGATGGGCTATTCCTAGTATTGTACCCACTGACCCATTTAACCGTGCCACCCTAAACATGCAGGCCCTGGCGACCCACCAAAGTATTTGGGGTCCATCAGCTGTGTGCCTCTGCAGCTCCCCGATAAATAGCATGTTCCTTGTATCTGATACCAGATTTCACACCTAGAAACAATCGCAGAACTTAAGGCTAGTGGTACTTTGTTACTCTTCTCCCTGGGTTATTTTATGCTTGAAAGGAAAAAATTTAATCTCATACTGTCTGCCTATTTCTAGTATTAATATTTTAAAATGCCCAAGTCACAAGCTGTCAGACATGCAGCAGCAGCTTGTATTTACCTTTCACTTCCCAGAGGAGGAGTTGGTAGGCACCTCCCACCTGGTGGAAGGAAAGGCCCTTCTCTTTGACGTTGAGGCACCCACCTGCATGTCTGTGGGGTGACTATACTTTTCCTTTTATTATAAGCCCACCAAAGAGAGACTTGCTTCTGTTACTAATAATGTATATCATCTTCCAGAGGGTATTTGCCATAACTTCTCCAGGGGAAGAAATTCTGGCTTTTGTTTTAACTCTCTGCTTAATTTTTCAGTAGAAAAATAACAAAAAGACATTATATATATATATATATAGGGAATTGCCCCCGTTTTCATGATCATGATTCTGCTAACTTCAGACAAGAAAATATGGTTTGTAATGTTGACCTTTAAATTCTCTAGGAAGCCTGCTAATCAAGGTATTATTTTAAGGACTCAGGCCTTCTCATCAGACTTCATCTTTCACACCGGAAATATGACTAATGTATTGTTTGGCTTTTAGCATTTCCTATGTTTTTCTTAATTTTAAAAAATATTTAATCCCCTTTTGAGATGTTTGCTTTTGCAGTGAGTTTGCAACATATCTCTGTTTTGTTTCTTAGTTTTTATTTCTTTACCAGCCCCTTACTTTAATCCTGCCTCATTACGTTTCCCATTGCCAGGTGTGTGCCTTATAGTTCTAGGACTTGACCCAGTCCCTGACTCTGACAGGTGTCCATCAGCACTATTAGAAAGATCATAAGAATTTATTTCCCTTTAGCACTCATCTTTAGGTCCTCTTAGTCCATTATTAGTGGAATCATGCTCGTCCTCACTTTACCCCCTTTCTCCCATGGTTAGGTCCAGCAGCACTAAAAGTCCTAGAGAACTTCTTGTCTGCTCTGATACTAGATCTGTAGATTAGCATTACTGGAGAAGGAATGGAGAGCTCCATGAAGTAAAGCCAGTAATTTTTTTATTTTTGGCAATTCAAGGAAAAGAATTATTTTGTATTGCCTAGACTAACACAGTCCAATTTTTTTTTCATGATATCTGGCATCGTTTAGCCTGTGACCATACTGTATCCATCTCTGCTTTAACAGGGGCAGCAAAAGCTATGTCCATTTGAAACTGTGATGTCTCTTAATTCAGTATCTTTTAGTGTCACTTTGCTCTGAAAGTATTGTGGCTCAAAGGGTTAGTGAGGCCCTAAGTTGTGTGCCCTATTGAACAGATCCCCAGGGTTTTTGAAGAAATTACTGCCATCATCAGTTTCCTAAGACTCATTTGAACCCAGATGCCAAATCGCTGAGCATTCAGGAGTGTTGACTGGAGAAATGAAGAAATAATGGAGAAAACCTTAAAGTATGACATAATGAAGTTCTACAGGGAATACCGAAAAGTGGTAGACGTAGAGTCGGGTGGGCCCTGCTGTGGGAAGATCAGCTTGATGCCCACACACAGCACACCTGCATCTGTCTCCCTTTGCCTCCTTGGTCGTATCCACTGGAAGATCTTGCTAATAAGTTAATTATCTTTCCATCCATTTTACTTTTCCATTAATTTTAAATGATAATCTCGCAAGCTTGGTACCTAGAAATAATGCTTTCCTATAAAATCATGCTATGTAAAAGTAATTTTTTTTTTTTTTTCAATATTCAGGATTGAATCCAATGACCTGCCTCTGTTGACTGCTATTGCCAGTACACATTCTCCTTATGTGGCTCAAATACTCTTATAAGCTAAAGCTCAGGACAGTTCTTCCTTGGAAGAAAAAAATCAAATTCTCAACTGAAGGAGAAAGGAATAAGCTCTCTGTGACATCAAAAGCATAAGAAGAGCAAACAGTCATTCCACCTTTTTGTTTTGTGTTTTTGTTTTCAAGCAGTTGCTTCATTGGAAGCCTTAGGTTTACTTGACATAATGGCATTTGTGATTGTCATGAACACTTTAGGCCTTTTGTTACCCATGAATCAACAGCAAGAGTGACCTTTTTGGTAGGAGGAAACGTAAGCACTACACAAAACACTAAGCTGTTGCTACAGATTGCCTTGTGCTGTTTAGGCAGAGGAAGAACCAGTGACTTTGGAGCAGGGAGGTAAACAATGTACATAACATTCCAGTAGGAAACCATGTCCAAGTTTAAGCATGAGCACCCCAAACTGGAGAAAGTGTATTTTGCCGTTCTGAGAAGACAGAACAAGGACTTTGGATTCCAGATCGGAGTTTGCTTTTTACACAAGGTGAAATTAAGAAAGCCACATTGTACCATCTTCAGCTCTGGTGGCTGCAGCAGTTACTGTTTGACATATACCATGAAAGAGGATTGCCTGTTGGAAAGAGAGTGCTTTTGGAACCCACTGTTGTCATTTCTTCTTGGAGTTTACCTTGTCTCAGATGTAGCCACAGGTAGGTCAGAGATGGATTATTGGTGCAATAAACCCAAGAATCAATGTAGCATCCTAATCCCATCAAGATGTAGTTTGTAGCAGCAAAGTGTACAGTCTGAAACCATATGTTATATCCTTCTACTTCAGAGCTTTCAGCAGCCTTTTTAAGAGAGGCCATTTACCAAAGTTATTTCTACAAGCTCAAGAGTGTTTCTGTTGGTAAGTTCTTCCAGCTGAAGCCACTTTCTTCTTAGCATAGTTAATACAAATGACTATTTATACTTTGAAAGGCACAGCTGTCCTAGTGGGAAATGAAACCTGCAACAGTTCAGCATGACTAGTGGAAGCAATTAGTTTGAACATTTAGAAACAATTCTTATATGATCTAAATTTTTACATTATCGTTGCTGTGCCTTCTAATCCCTACATCCTTTTCAAAACATCTTTCAGGAAATTAATTTACCCATTGTATAAAACCTACCAAAATGAATTATTTTCACCCAGTTTACTTTTTAAAAAAACCCAAACCTTAATTTTCTATTAATATAAAAGAAACTTTAGTTAACTGACCATGAAACAGACTGTGTACCAACATCCAGGGTAAAGTAAAAGACTTTCTAAAAAAAATTGGACATTAAAAGTTAGGAGCTAATCTAGTAAAACAAAACATTGTTAGCACTTTGCAGATCTTGAGTGCGGTTGATTATAACCAAGCTCTGATGATTTCTTTTCACTGTTTTATGAATTGATTCCAGTCCTTTCCATGCATCCTTTGTACCCAAGATGAAATAACCTCCCTTTTAGAGATTAGAATGACTTCAAATTTTCTATTTGATAAAATCCTGATCCTATACGCCAAGTTACACAAGTTTGTCTCTTTATTCTTTTACAAATGCAAATTGTTTGAAAAAGTATACCAGCAGTACCAATGGAGAAAAATCAATGTATTGTTTCTTAGGAGTAATTCCTAGGAATAGGTCATAACTGCTGCCTTTCCCTTTTTTTACAATGCGAAGTGTAGATAGATGGGTGCATTAAGGCTCTTAAGATCTTTAATTTTCATTTTATGTCATTCATAAAAATGGAGGTTTTTCCATTTCCTTTTGCCTAACATTTGACTTTGGTATTTTAAATTCTCTAGTTCCATGACACCATTGTTTGCTGTTATGTTACAGAAAGAGAATGAACCTCACCTGTGGCTCAGCTCCCTCAACATTTATTTCTCATGTGTGAATAAATTGTCATAGCTGATGTGACAACGTTTCCATCTGCACCAGTTTTTAAAGCATTCCCCTCATCTCCAGGTTCCCTTCTCCTTGTTTACGTGTTTTGGGCACTTTCCCTCATTCACCATCTTCCAGGTTTTCATAGAAAATCAGTTCAATTTTTATGTGAACATAGTGGCATGTTGAAAATTCAACCCATATTGGGGAGATTAAAGGGTTGATTCCAAACTCTATACATAAAAAAAATTAGCCCAGACCCTTATAAGCCTGAGAAAATTTAATTTGCTTCTTAATCTAATGTTCTAAAACTCACTCTTCAAAAAATGTCTGGAAAACTACAGGTGGGTCCTGTGTGGGGGTTGTCTCAGCAACACTCAGGATTCCAGCCCCAGCCCATCATTTCTATTGCCTACAAAAGCAGACCAAGAATGTCGCTGCTCTTTTATAATCCTACTTTAAATACTTAACATTCAAGTTTTCTTTGTCTTCAATTCAACCTCTTCCCAAAAGCAAAAAAGAAAAAAATCTCATGGAAGTGTGTTGGGATACACCCACGCACCCATCGGGCACCACCCAGTGGCTTCATTCTGGCTGAGCCCAAGAGGCAAGAAAGGGATCCCACCTGCTCCCATGACCACCTCGAGAAAAAAATAAAAATTATTA